ACTGGATCCTTTAATGGACACAGCTCTCAAAACAGCTCAAGCCTGCGACTTTACAAGTATATTTCGTAGCATGTCATGATCTAACTGAGATGCACAATGAAATAATATACAGGCTAATATCACCCATAACATCTCGGAGATTAATTAAAAAATATAAACCTGATGATATAGTTTGCTTTCAAATTTCTTCAAATCTCTGTGATAAGTGAGAAAAAAATATATTTCTTAACGTTATTTTTGCCACGTTTTAAGCTTCCAATGGATTGCTATTTCCATGATTCATTCTTTCTTTCTTTACCTCTCTTTCAACAGAAGCTAAGATGCGCACACCGTTGATATGTTTTATGCTTCTCATTTGTCTTTTGGTAATGGAAGCTAAATCCATACCACTTAAGAAAGGTGAGACAATCAATTGTGGATTCGATCTTTTTACTCCCAGACGAGTTTCAAACATTGTACTCTTGTGTTGGGACTCAAGTACAATTTGTTTTTGTTTTTGTTTGGAAGAACATAAAACCGACGCCGAGGAACTCGAAGAAACAATGAGGGATTTGAGAGAGTCAGGTAAGCCAAAGCTGCTTTAAAAATTTAGCAGACGATATGTGAATCATTTCATTTGATGTGCATTGACTCGAGAGTAAGTGACCTTTTTAATTCAAGGAGGGCTGGGTTCGAGTGCAGGGGACCCAAAATCTTGAAACTGTATTGGGATTTACCATTAAGTCACACAGACTATGAAGCACGTGAAATTACGTATGATTCCTAAGTGCTCAAAACAATAAGCATGAATAATTGATTGTGGCTTTACTTGAAGGCGCGCAATTCCTTGAAAAGCAAAATGTTCTTCAGGGAATAATGTGAATTGCACCCGGCGCTGACTTGCTTGAATATTTTGGTAGAGAGCGATTGGGCGCAGACGAAATGTCCACTTGAGAAAAATGAGTGACGTATGATTGGCTAGTTCTACATTCTCATGGGAAAACGGCGATGATCGAAAAATGACTGTAAATACATGAAAATTATACATGTAAACTGCGGTTGAAGAAACGAATACTACTTAGAATGAATTAAGAAAAGCTCTTTATTGAGATCAAGTCTCTTAGCTTGATATTTCCTTAGTACGATCTAACTTTTTCAATTTGATTAAATCTATTTAGAGCTAAACCTCCATAAAGGCCCTGCAAAAGATAACTATCAGGAGCAATTGAAAGCGCTCACTGAGGAAGGTATGTTCATCAGACAGTGAGTTATATCTAATCAAATGACAAAGACAAATGAAATGAAGGGGGCAATTTTCTCAGGAAACTGTGGTGCTGCGTCAGTGGGAAAGTATAACAGGGTCATTTAGTATTATCAACTGAGTTGGTAACGTAAGTTAGCCACTGTGACAAAGATAGTCCAATTTTACATGATGTAAATCCATATTTTCATTCAGCACAGTCTGAGTTCTTGTGATATGTGCATAGAAGATTAAATATGCCCCTTACAAGGCACCAACATGTCTCGTATGGGTGTAGCATAAGTATGTTTCAACCGGTCTTCAAAAAACACCTTAAGGCAAATCCAAAGATCAAAATTGTAGGTAGATGATTTGCCTCAAGCTCAGATTTGTTGTTTCCTTTTGTTTCAGAATCTGATGCTCAAAGTGGAAATGGTGAGCTCAGACCGGAGGAATATTAGCCAGCGACTATAAACTGAGATCTGAGAATGTACAAATATATAACAAAATAAGATTTAGTTACTCGTCACACACACTTTTTTCTTCGTTTAACAATTTTTCTTTCATCTTCTTTTATCTTTTTTGACAAACGCACAATATGTCATACATTCCTATCCTCATTATCATTGTTTTTCTACTCGTTAAAGATCTTGCAGCCGTCTCAGACATTATGTAGCTCAAGTACAGTAAAAGTAGATAGAATCATTTTATTGAATTTTTTTGCCTAGTCGTCTCAATAAAGCTTATTTAGAGTGTAAATTTATTATCTGTGTTGCATGAAGGTGGGGGAACGACTCAATTCGAGCGTGCGCTGTATTCTCTATCAGAATCTTATACTATTTTAGGCCTGGAAAGTTTAAGTTTTTTTTCATGTTTGAATTCAGCATTATTGATTTTAACTTGTAGACAAAAGTGAGTGATTGTTATAATGTTCGGTTTAAATCCCATACATTCTCAACACTGCAAGCTACGATCCTTGAACCGTTTTCGTTTATTTCAATGTTTATTCACTCTTTTGCCGCTTCTATTTGTAAATATTCTCAAATAAGTCGAAATAATTTTGCCTCATTTTAATATGCTGTCATTATCATCTCTCTCTACCAGGTTTAATTGCCTTAAAGTTTGTTTATGCAATTCTTTGATTACTGGCAAGTGAAGCGCATTTTTTTTATGAGTATTTTGTTATTGGCCCTATAAGTTCTCCATACAGGCGTCAAGATTATATCACTGATTCTTCCCGAAAATAACGAGTTTGAAGAAGGACGGTCGATAGTGGAGATGTTATAGGTCTCAAACTGAAGTGAACGGTCGCAATCTAGGAATCGGAAGTTTACCCTCAAGTCGGAAGCCGAATGTAATTGGACTTAATTCATCTGGCAACCGATTGCTGAAGGTAGTGGGTTACTACTAGAAATGCAAGGAAAAAAATTATGTTTTTGGATTAGCTCCGCAGTTCCTTTTATTTGATCGTATATGAATTACTTTGCTATGTACAGCAAAGTTTAACGTAAATGAATACATATCCTACTCATTTATTACGCATCCAAAGCATAACGCCCTGTGCCCCCACCCCACCCCCGTTTTTCCCGGCTCCAAACTCCCGGGTCATGCTGGTAATTAAACGATGATCGAAAACAAATTGAACGAGGAATTTTAAGGTGGGAGTATGGATTAGTTACTCCCACGATTCACGCAGAGACTTACTCAAAAGTCCCCTGCAGTACTTTCAGTTTCTCATCCTTCTCATGATCAGGAAAAATGGGAACATACACTTTTAATGCTAGATGCTCTTAGCAATAATTGTGCTAAATAATGCGGGTCATCTTGACGGGTTTATGGATTCCCGGTCATGTTTGTCTTGTGGTGACAAAATATATGACGTCTTCGTCAGTCATTCTTAGTGCGCAGATCAAGTTTGCTAAAAGATAGGTATTAACATTTGAGTAAAGGCTACATTCTTGTATCGGGAAGGTCAAAGGTTTTGCAGTAAAAGTAGTCTGAAAAGGAGGGAGTAAGTAGTTTTTTCTTCGTTAGAATGAGACCATACTATAGTCAGGAGAACTTTTTACTTTAGGGGGTAGAATCTTATCCGCGCTCGACTAAATTTCTCTTTTTCCCTTAAAGTGTGTTTTGCGTTTTGTTTACAGCATCTTTGTCTCATTTGGAATTTACAGAGAAATTGTCTAACCTAATTCTTAAATCCTAGGGAGAAAAAACTCACTTTGCCATCCAATGGATATAAGATTTCTTTTTTATTGTTTCATTTTGTCAGAGGTTTTTGCGTTGCCAACAGTAACAATATGGTCTGTCTCAAACATTGCCGAATAATCTCGGTGAAACCTTCACAGACAAAAAAAAGTTACCTTTATTCATATCTGGAGTAGCGCTTCGAAATACTTGTGGGCGTCACATTTTCAACGCCCATGCATCATTAATTTCGTCGAGTTGACTTCTCCATGTAAAAACAGCTTGATATCAAGTTGCACTGAAAATGCTTACCACTCCTCAAATGTAATCCACATAGGCCACCTTTAATTTTTCAATTCCTATAGAGTGCGAGTCAGCCATGCGTTGATTTAGCTTTGAAAGTATGAAACAAATGTACAAAGATTTGTATGTAAGAGGGTCACAATTTATATCTTTGAGCGTCATCTATCTCGTCATAAAAAAACTTGGATCTCTAAATAAGAACCCTTTCAGATCTCTACTTATCATTGATATCGTGAAATGTCTTGCTGTCAGTAGACCTTTTCTCCTTGTTGCTGTTGTTGTTTTTTTTTAATTTTCATTTGGACGCTATTTTTGGAAAAGATTATCTTAACTTTTGTACATCTTTGAGACTGATCAAAGGTATTTTTCCTACTGGTCAAACTTCATTATTTAGCGTTGAATGCAGAGAATCCAGAATAAGAAATTTGCTCATGATAGATGATTCGAGAAAACAGAAACATTTAGTATTGTATCAAATAGGAGAAGTATTAAACGCGTCTAGATTAGGACTTCGGCAAGATCGCACTCAATTTGGAGAGAAATGCAATATCGTAGATCAAAAACTTGTCCACTTTAAAAGGGTTCAGTATTGTGCTGGATGAATGTGTTGAATGTTTTTTGTGAGATATCTGACTGCATATGATGAACCGATCTTGAATTATTACGAAAGGAATGCAGTGACACAAGAAAGCGACCACATATCTCAGCCATTTCAAATTTAAATATTCAAACTTAGATACACAAAGTTGTGTGCTTTGCATGACACTTTTGGTTTAATTTATCAGAGTCAGCAACAGTCATCCTTTGACAGTTCAGGAATTTTAACAGTATTTGCTGTAAAAGTAGCGCCTTCGTATAAAAAAAATCACTTGTTATAAAACTATCTCGATACTTAGGGTAATTTAGTGTGAACAACTGAGTTGATAGCGTAAATTGGCTGCCATAAAGAGTTTAAAAGCTAACGTTTCGAGCGCTAGCCCCTCGTCAGAGCTAGCTCTTCGCGAATTGCTCTAGCGAAGGGCTAACGCTCGAAACGTCAGCTTTGAAACTCTTTACGGTGATCAATTTAATTTAAAAACTCACTGAATTTGGGAACGAAATTACAGCGTACGAAACTATTAGGTACCAAATGAGTGGATAGCTTTTTCTACAACTCTACAGCGATCGACATGGGGCGCCTTGAAGGTGTTACACCATCGTATCAATGACTATAACTACGACTAACATGGTGTCCAAATATACTTTACAAATGGTTGTTGTTCTAATGATAAATTATTTCTAACAGTTCAAAATATGCAGGTAATAGCCTCTTCCTTACTGTTGCTCTCCATCATCGCTGTGTCACACGCACGGCTTCAACGTAATTCAAAAAGAGGTGAGATGAAAGTAACAAATCTTTCAAGTTCCATTACGCGTTAGCAGTGCTGAACGTTGAAATGCACTAATTCACCTTACTTTGCTATTTTAGAAACCAAAGATGAACGAAAAAAAGTGAATACGCTTTTTGAGGATTTAGAAGAAGCTGGTAAGTTAAATGAGACAAAAATTCGTATCCTAGTTTCGTCTCAGCTCAAAGATATGATTTATAATCCGCACTAAATCGGTCGATGTCGGCTATAGGTTCACAAACTACATGAGGGCGTTATTCCAGACTTCTAAGTGGATTATTACGCTGGTAGACCTATAGAAAAATGACAGTCTATTGCTGACTAGAATACTTTTTCATCATGTCGGGTGCGCTTTTGTCCTTTTTCCGACAACCTTTCTCGAAATAGCTGTATAAATGAAATAGTGTTTCGTGGTAAATTAAATGTAAATGTTTTTTTTTCAATTTCCATTCGTTTTACCTGGGTTAACTTACATAACATGTTCAGGCACTTTACTGAAGTATCAGGCATGGATGTTGATCAATTCTTTTAAATTTTTCTCTGACTATTTCCTGTCGTAGCTAAAATTTCATTCATATGGTAAAGGAAGAAAGAAACCCTAAATGTACTCAGTCCTCAAAAATCCAGGCCCTGGTTGTCAATTTATATTAGAGATACTCCTTACTCTCTATCCCCTCGACTCTAAGATTAAAATCTCATTTTCTTCCATAGCCTTGCTAGGCAAATAGAGAGAAAAATCATAACTCTCAGTATTAAAATTTTTCTTCATCTTGGTTATCCAGAGAATCCTATCAAATTACACAGTATCTGCGAGGTTAACTATGAGAAAGTCGGATGCTTCAAAGAAGACACCAACAACAGAACACTTTCACAGGAACTTTTCCAAGACAGGATGTCAAGTGATCCAAATTACAGTGGACAAAGGGTGGACTGGGCCAACTACAATACATACCTCAAGAGGTGAACAGTATATAAAATAAAATATTTCAACAACTTCATCGTGTTTGCCATAAATTGAAAATATGGTCATGATCATCGGTGAGATGCCATAAAGTTAAATACGGAGTTTCCAGAGCTTTACTTCATTTCTTTTACCTCTACACACACATGCAGTTTGCGTGTTCGTGTTTGGGCGAGATATATTTTTTCCAACTTAAAATTCGTATGTCTTGTGAAAACGAGAAGTCATTCAAATTTTCTTAAGAAGTCTTAAGATGAGTCAATAAATAAACGTTTCAATACAATTTTACTTAGAACAGAGGAAAGTTTCATGCTTTTTTTCTGCGTCGTTTATCGAGTACTTTATGACGAGAGTTCACGAGATGATTGTTTACATTCTTTTATAATCTGTCCGCTTCATGAAGTTGTAGCTCCCAAAACGACGAAAAACTACTAAGTGGCTATCACTATCTCTTACAGTCTGGCATGCCGCTGCGCCAAAAGCAGTGCCCAGAATGGTTTTACTTACTTTGGTCTTCAAGACTACGGACGATGCTTTAGTGATCCACATGCCTCTACAAGTTACAGCAGGCATGGAAACTCGAGCCATTGCTTTAATCAATACTTCTACTCGTGTGATGACAATGCTTACGGGCAGTGCATGGGAAGAGGCAAAGAAATGAATTACATATACCACATCACCGTGGATGGTATGCAAGACGCTTAAGTGTGCTATAAGTGTTATGTCTAAGGTTTTCAAGTACGGTTTCACCCAGTCAGTGGGCCTCAGTCATTCTCTGTAAGAGGGTTGATTGAAATAAATAAATGTCCTTCCACTCACAGCTCTCGGCCCCCTTGATACTGTTCACAAAAACAAATGTTCAGATGAAGGTTCAGCTAAATTGAGGATTGAACTTGTTATGCATCTCGATTCGATTCAAATACTGAACAGAAAATTAATGCAACTCGGCATTGCCCAATAGTAATCATCATTATCGTCATCGTTTACGATCTTGCAGCCGTCTCAGACATTTTGTAACTAAGGTACAGCATGTAGATAGAATTATTTGATTGGAAATAACGCATTTGAAGATGAACGTTGGATTAAGGTGATGTCAGAGGTCTCAAACTGAAGTTGACGGTCGCCGTCTAGAAATCGGAAGTTTACCCTCAAGTCGGAAGCCGAATATAATAAAACTCAATTCATCTGGCAACCGATTGCTGAAAGTGGTGGGTTACTTCTAGAAATGCAAGGAAAAAATGATGTTTTTGGATTAGCACCGCAGTTCCTTTCATTTGATCGTAAATGAATTTGTTTGCTGTGTATTGGGGTCGGTTGGCGATTTTTTACAGCAAGTTTTATCGTAAATGAAAACATCCCTTACTCATTCATTTCGCATCCAAAACATAACGCCCTGTGCCCCAATCCCACGTCCGTTTTTCCCGGCTCAAAGCCTCCGAGTCATGCTAGTAATTGAACTATGATCGAAAACAAATTGAACGAGGAATTTTTAAGGTGGGATCGAGGATCAGTTACTCCCACGATTCACTCAGGGACATACCGAAAAGAGTGTGTAAGACGAAAAAACCAAAGTGCCGTATAATACTTTTAATTTTCCAACCTTCTCATGATCAGGGAAAAATGGGAACATACACTTTTAATGCCAAATGCACTTAGCACGGCAATAATTGTACCAAATAATATGGTTCATCTTGACGGGTTTATGGATTCCCGGTCATGTTTGTCTTGTGGTGACAAAATATATGACGTCTTCGTCAATCATACTTAATGCGCAAATCAAATTTCTTAAAAGATGGGCATTAACTTTATAATAAAGACTGCATTCCTGCATCGGGAAGGTCAAAGGTTTTGCAGTAAAAGAGGTCTGAAAGGAGAGAGAGAGTGAGTAGTTTTTCCTTCTTTAGAATGAGAACATACTATAGTCAAGAAAGAATATTTTGCTTTAAAATGCTTTTTCATACTTTTTACTCAAGGTTAGAATCTTATCCGCACTCAGCTAAATTTCTCTTGTTCCCTAAAAGGGTGTTCTGCCTCTTCGTTAACAGCATCTTTGTCTTATTTGGAATTTACAGAAAAATTTTCGAACCTCATTGCTCTTAGATCCTTGAGGAAAAAAAACTCACTTTGCCATTCAACGGATATAAGATTTATTTTTATAATATCATTTTGTCAGAGGTTTTTTGCGTTGCCAACAATAACAATATGGTCTGTCTCAAACATTCCCGAATAATCTCGGCGAAACCTTCACGGTAGTTTTCTTACCAGTCAAACTTCATTATCCAGCGTTGAATGCAGGGAATAAGAAATTTGCTCATGATAGATGATTCGAGAGAACAGAGATGTTTAGTATTATATGAAGTGGAAGAAGTATTTAACGCGTCTAGAATATGACTTCGACAAGATCGCACTCAATTTGGAGAGACATGCAATATCGTACATCAAAAACTTGTCCACTTTAAAATGGCTCAGTGCTGTGCCTAAATGTATTGGATGTTTTTGTGAGATATCCGACTGCATATTATAGACCGATCTTGAATTATTACGCAAGGAATGCAATGGCACAAGAAAGCGACCACATATCTGCAGCCATTTAAAATTTAAATATTCAAACCTAGATACACAAAGATGTGTGCTTTATATGACACTTTTTGTTTTAATTTGTCAACAACAGTCATCTTTGACAGTTCAGGAATTTTAAAGGTATTTTCTGTGAAAGTAAGGCCTTCGTATAAACAAAATTACATGTTAAAAAACTATCTCGATACTTAGGGTAATTTAGTGCTAACAACTGAGTTGGTAACGTAAATTGGGAGCCATAAAGAGTTTAAAAGCTGACGTTTCGAGCGCTAGCCCTTCATCAGAGCTCAGCCCTTTGTCAATCGCTCAGACGAAGGGCTAACGCTTGAAACGTCAACTTTGAAACTCTTTTACGGTGACCAATTTGCTTTAACAACTCAGTTGATGATACTAAATTACCCTGTAACACTCTCCCACCGACGCTGCACCACAGTTTCTTTAGAAACTTACCCTCTTTATTCATTCTCTAGATATTAAGTAAAGGACGTGGATTCTTGATGAAGAAACCTTCGCTCCCGTGTTTTCAAGGAAATATCAGGCCTTTTCAATCATCAATTACTGGTTTTTCGTAACAAAGACGGAAGGGGGGGGGGACGCCCTTAAAACTCCCCCGTCAATTTTTACGCCTACTGTCTAGATTTTTGGCGTTTATTGTTTATTAGGACTAACATGGTGTCCAAATATACTTTACAAACGGTTGTTGTTCTAATGATGAAGTACTTTAACAGTTCAAAATATGCAGGTAATAGCCTCTTCTTTACTGTTGCTCTCCATCATTGTTGCGTCACACGCACGGCTTCAACGTAATTCAAAAAGAGGTGAGATGAAAGTAACAAATCTTTCAAGTTCCATTACGCATTAGCAGTGCTGAACGTTGAAATGCTCTAATTCACCTTACTCTGCTATTTTAGAAACCAAAGATGAACGAAAAAAAGTGAATACTCTTTTTGAGGATTTAGAAGAAGCTGGTAAGTTAAATAAGACAAAAATTCGAAACCTAATTTCGTCTCAGCTCAAAGACATGATTGATAATTCGCGTTAAATCTGTGTCGGCTATAGATTTACAAACGATATGAGGGTATGATTCCAGAATTCTTAGAGGATTATTACGCTGTTAGACCCATAGAAAAATGATGGACAGCCTATTCCTTAGCTAGAATATTTTTTCATTATGCCACGTGCACTTTTGTCTTTTTTCCCACAACCTTACTAGCTGTTTTCATGAAGTAGTGTTCCGTGGTAAATTAAATTTAACCTGTTTGTTTGTTTGTTTGTTATCAATTTTCACTCGTTTTACTTGGGCTAACTTACATTACATGTCCAACCACCTTACTTAAGTATCAGACATGGATTTTGATTAAATCTCTTTTAAACTTTTCTCTCACTCCTTCCTTACGGGGCCAAAATTTCATCCAAAAGGTAAAGGAAGAAAGAAACCCTAAATGTACTCAGTCCTCCAAACTCCAGGCCCTGGTTGCCAATTTATATTAGAGAAACTCCTTACTCTCTACCTCCTATACTTTAAGATTTAAGTCTCATATTCTTCCATAGGCTAGCTAAGCAAACTGAGAGAAAAATGATAACTCTCAGTATTAAAATTTTCTTCTTCTTGGTTATCCAGAGAATCCTATCAAATTACACAGTATCTGCAAGGTTAACTATGTGAAAGTCGGATGCTTCAAAGAAGACACCAGCGACAGAGCGCTTTCACAGGAACTTTTCCAAGACAGGATACCAAGCGACCCAAATTACAGTGGACAAGAGGTGAACTGGGGCGACTACAGTACATACCTCAAAAGGTGAACAGTATGTAAAGTAAAATATTTCCACAATTTCATCCTGTTTGCCATAAATTGAAAATATGGTCGCGATCTTCAGAGAGAGACCAAATAGTTAAATACAGGGTTTTCAGAGCTTTACTACTTTCACTTCTTTTTTTTTGTACATCTTTACACACATACTTTTTATATTTTATGTTTTGGCGAGGCATTTTTTTCAACTTAAAATTCGTGTGTCATGTTAAAATAAGAAGTCTTTCAAATTTTCTCCAGAGGTCTTAAGATATATCAATAAATAAACGTTTTAAAATAGATTGGCTCAGAACACAGGAAGGTTTAATGCTTTTTTGCTGGATCGCTTTTTGAGTAGTTTGTGAAGACATCCCACGAGATCGTTCTTTACATTCTTTCATAATCTCTCCGCTTCATGAAGTTGTAGCTCCCAAAACGACAAAAAACTAATGAGTGTATATTGCTACCTCTTACAGTCTGGCATGCCGCTGCGCCAAAAGCAGTGCCCAGAATGGTTTTACTTACTTTGGTCTCCAAGACTACGGACGATGCTTCAGTGATCCACACGCCTCTACAAGTTACAGCACGCATGGAGACTCGAGCAGTTGCTCTAATCAATACCACCAGCCGTGTGATGACAATGCTTATGGGCAGTGCGTAGGAAAAAACCAAAAAGTGAATTACATATACAAAATCAGTATGGATGGTATGCAAGACTCTTAAGTGTACTATACGTATTCTACCTAAGGTTTTATGTACATTTTCCTTTCTGTTTTTCAGCCGGGATAGAGCTGTTTTATTGTTATACTAAAGAGAGAGCTTGACTGTTTCAGAATTCTAAGTGTAGCGAAACCCAACTGGGCCGGTTACTTACAAGAGGTCTAACCAAAACCAGGGTTTTACCCAGTCAGTGGGCTTCAGGCATTCTCTGTAAGTGGGTTGATTTAAATGAATGAATGTCCTTCCACTCACAGCTCTCGGCCCCCTTGACGCTGTTCACAAAAATAAATGTTCAGATAAAAGGTTTAGCTAAATTGAGGACTGCTCAGGACGCGGTTTTGTTAAACAACGGCTCAACTTTGTTCAAATAACCAGACTATATAGGATTCAAGATACAGGGCGATTAAATTACAAATGATGTTATATCCATGAGTAAGCTTGTCTTGAGACCTCTTCCAGATCTCTCATAAATGAACTGAGCTTCTGCATTTTCTTGCCTCCCTGTCAAATATGCGAAAAATATACAGAGCAAATATACAAATTAATATCTAAACAGATAAACAAACAAAGAACTCAAGCAAGTAAAATAAACCCTTTGAATTACACTACCCATCATGTACGTTTATTTTTGCGTTGTATAAGGATTATTTTTTTTTCTCACACTACTTTACAGATGGCAGTGGTAATGGCGAGATTGATTACGGCAACGCATACGACCAAGTGGACCTCAAAGACTTGAATACTTACAATTAGCCAAATCCTGATGGTAGATAAACCCTCTTAATTACATTGTTATCCTCCTTTTGTTCTTAGCCAGGCATCGAGCTATTTGCATTCTGGAATGTTCTTTTTTTTCATTTACACTGGTGTTGACGAATGACTTTTAAGATCATTCAATCATCTCTTTGCTGTATAAGGATGTTTAAATAAACAGGAGGGAAAAAATGTAACAATGATACTCGTACGCGTTATGTTCGTTGCTTTTAACCAAGAGTTAACTTATTCTATTAATAACGAGGAATATCATTTCAGATAATGCCGATCAACCCAGAATGTGAACAGTTCAATTTTCGTTCCCTTGATAAGCTGTTTGGGATCCAAGCTAGAAGGAGGGGTGTGGACGCTCTTGAAAATAAATATCGCGAACGGTGTCGAAAAACAGCAACCTTTCCAAGCTATTCTTCTTAATACATCGTTTGCAATTAAAAATGTCATGAATTGTTTACTTGCTAGATTTTACATCGGGACAATTACCGCTTGGATTTCGTATCGCGTGTTAACGTGTCTGTTAATTCTCTAGACCTATCTCGGTTGCTCCGTGTTCCATGCCCACGTTGCGCTAGACCATTAATCCGTGCGTTCACCTGCATATCTAAGTTTAAATTTGGTCCTATAAATGATCTCTTTGGTCCATTAATTGATCGTTTTGAGCTTTTAAATGATCTTTTGGTCCTTCAACTGAACTTTTTGGTCCTGTAATTGTCCCTGCTTATGCCGCATAAGCAGCGTAAGCTCATTTACTTTCTGTTCATAGTTTCTTTGTGGTTCTGAATTCGCGGAAACCTTGTTTGACGTTGTAGTTTTAGGTGTTCAGTCATGTGAAGGCTTTAATTTGAGCATGTAGAACCTGTGGCTGAGAGGTGTTAGGGAATGTATAAATTGTCATACGTGGTGCTTGGGCTAATACCTACTGGCTGCGGTTGAGTGCTTCGATCAATCGTTCAATCTGGCCCCAGGACTTGGTGATCCCTCGATAAAATACCTCAGCATGTCTAACCCACTAAATAGCTCGTACATGTCCTTGATATAATCAAGAGATTATAATCTCTGGACATAATTCGACAATAATCCAGTGGAACTCTGAGGTGGGCTCCATAGCAGCATATCGTCTTACCAGAGCTTGTTGAAAATGCAGAAAGTCTCTTCGCTCTTCAGCTGGTAATTCGACCATGAAAGTTTCCAATGTACCAGTAGTTCAACAAAGACAAAAACAACGCTAGTCATGTTCACTATTTATTTTTTCGACACGCCAATTGATCACAAGAAGAAAACTAATAGTAAAACGTCGAAAACTAATCGTAAATATTCTTGTATAAAAAAGGAAATTATTGTATAATTGCATAGTTTTGCTTATAAGACAGTAGCAGGCACCATTAAGAATTATCGTGTAGCTCTAAAAAACCTTCCATTCAGCTCTGTTTCAATTCCCATGGCTCATAATAGCAACGATTCAACGTCCTTTTACACCGTAAAATCATGCTGAACAATTATTAAAATTGGTTAGTGTTTGAGTTAGCTTCGTCAATTATTGACGCCCGTTTTTCTATTGCTCATTAGCACGAAATATGGTTGGTTATTTGTACAACTGCAGACAGTAAAAAAGGCAGTGCTTGCCATATAGCTCGTTCGATACCTCATTATCCTTTTATACGTAAAATATGATAAGAAAAGCAGAACCTTAGGCCACATATTCTCTTTTTTTACGAGAAAACTAGACAAGGAGACCTTTTCTAGCTATCAACTGTTGTTACCCCAGCAACAAACTCTTTGATTTTCTACTTAAAAAAAATTTGATATCTATAGCTAAAGTCGATTTCATTCGCTTCAAAATTCTTTTCATCCTCGGTTTGAAATCACCTTAATCTGAAGAGGCCTCTAAGGTTGTATCAAATGAGGAAAAATATCAAAATTATAAAGAGAGAATTTTTTTTTAATTTAAGGGGTTCGTTTTTGTGTTTTTATGATCTGAGAAAAATCAATTGTTTACTGAAAGAGACAACACAGCTGATCTTGACAAAGGGGGTGAGATAGATATAAAAGCGAAATCTCCTTGCATACGTTGAAATTTGTCTTTCGTGTTTACGTCTATAACCAGCCGATCTTAGGTGCATTGAAAAGCCATCCCATTCCAATTTGAAAATCAAAGGTAAGTGTTTTATTTTTGAAGCTTATAGTAAAATTGTACCGGCATTTCAAGAAGGACATCTTGAATTGTGCTCATAAAATCTCCGGATTCTATTTGTCTTTTAAAAATTGAAAGACACCACATCCTTACAGACATTTTTCTGTTAGTTTCTTAACGAAGGAGAAGTGTATCAAGCTCGATCATTTATGTTAACGAAAGTCATTTTTCTTTACGTACTGACTTATTCTTGATTTGGTGTCTGCTAAGAGGATTGGTGTAGTCTCAAGTACCTCAAGTACACTGACAAATAATTTTGAGTTGTCTAAACTAGGAAATTGAAGATTAAACTAAAAATAAAGGCTCTTGTGCACGTGTAAAAAAGTGTTAGGCAATAATTGAACCGCTGTTTTGACATGCATTTTCTTTCTGCTTGGTTTTACATTGTTGTAGAAATTTAGTGTTGCGAATGAAAAATCAACAGCCATCATTTTTGTTCTTCCTAGTTTATCCATGCTGATAACAAAGATTTTTTTGGTTCTTTTGACTGTGGAATCATCGGTCACGGGTAACTAACAGCCATTATTGTATTGTTTTATTTGCACAATCTTTAGGGCTGATTTCCAATTATTATCTATTGTTCTAATCGTTTCTAAACGTGAAACAATCGGGACGATCAATTTGCATTCCGACTAAGCTATATCCGAACGCTACTTAAAGTACAGAAAGAGTTTCCTATATATTCTACCGCCAGCCTCTGCGTATATTTACATTTTTTCAAACATGCATACCAAAATTTCTGCACGCCTGTTGCCTGAGGTTGTACAAAGAGTGCATTACTAGTAAATTCAAGTTCAGGATCTCTCCTTAAGGATCTCTGATTTGCTTGTATCGTCTAACAATACGCATGATCAAAGATTTCACGTTTTATTTTAGGCTTGGGCACCGACAAGGAAATAAAACGGATGTACCGTGCATTTCTGGAAGACGGTAAGCTGAAATATCAATTAATCACTTCTCTTAGCAATTTCAAGATTAATAAGTTTTCATCCCGTGTTTGGACGTTCTTTCTACCTCAATCGATTTTTACGTTTTTTCGTTTCAGAGAATCTTTCAGATGCAGCAGTAGAAGAATGCGACGTAAAATATGAAAAAGTTGGATGCTTTTCTGACAATCCTAAGAACAGGGCGCTTCCAAAACTGATCCTCAGTGATCGAGACAAAATAAACTGGCAACCTGGAGAATGGGAGAAATATTTAAAGAGGTAAAACTATTGAATGACACGCATACATAAGATATAATACTATACAATAAACTTTGTTGAGCGAATGGGAAATTAGACGCGAAGGAGCTGGAGTCCGGATTGAAAGGTCCTGCTTGAAGCGCATGCCTGGTCATTTTATCGTGTTCTTGGGTAATGAACGTTACTCCCATAGTTCATCGCTTTCTACAGAAACGGATTGCAAACTATAAATGGGTGTCTTAAACCGTTAGAAAAATCTAAGGAAAAACTGGATGTAACATGGTTAGCGAGCTTAGCTTGGAAAACCGAAATAAGCTTAAAGCCTCTCCAGTGCTATTAACATTCAACGGGGAGGTAAGAGGAGAGGAGCGGGAAAATACCTGGCCCCTGATTTCAGGATTGTTTTATGGGTAATTCAAGAGGAAAGGGGCCAATCTCGTTACTAACTCCTTGCACTTTTGTTCATGGGTAGAGCCTTGGGAACTAGGTTGGAAAGGGTTTTAACAGAGGGTACTCACTCACGATTTCATTATGCTCAACATCTAAATCTTAAACACGAGAAAGGTTTTTTCCCGTGGCCATAAATAAGGAGTATGAGTCAAGACTATTAGATATCAAACTTTGCTGGTGAGTTGTATAGGCTAAAGCCTCTTGGCAACCTGTTTTATTTTTGGTGATGGGTTTTCATTTTGGGAATTTTTGCTTTGACTGATAACTTTTTAACTTTTTAGTGGTATTACCATGTTCCTAATGAATTGTGTAATTTCTCTGGTTTTGGTCTAACGATAACAAACTGGAAAAAGCTTTTAAGAAGATTTTAGATAGAGTGCAGTGTTCCGTTTAGCAAAATGCGGAAAAGTACATCTGATGCTTTTTGATTCGCTTTGAATATTTACTTTTAGGCTTGCTTGCCGCTGTGCGGAAGCATCAAGCGGCGAGGGATACAACGTGTTTGGTCTTCAGTTTTACGGTGAATGTTGGAGTGGTTCAAACAGGCCTCCTCTTGGGTCTGATAGCTATAGCGAATCCAAAAAGTGTATTAGTTTTCAATACGAGAAATGCCAAAACAACGACCCCAATGAATGCGTCGGAGAAGCTATGACTAATTACGTGTACCGCATTATGGAAGGTAAAAAAAAAGATAAAAACAAAGATAACCGTTATGTTCTTATGCATGAGAGCGGACAGGATATTCGTTGTTAAAAATAGACAAATGCTAAAAAATCCCTTTCAACAGCCCTGCCCCTTTCTAAGCACTTTTAAACATGGACCCGTCGTATTACGACACGCCGTGCAAAACTATCGTCCAATCAAAGAGATATAACTAAAGTAGAACCAAAGGAAAAACAATTGAGAGATATTTATCCTCAGGGAAAGAACGATGACGCAAAAATGTGGGGAAAATTACCACAAATGGATCACAAAACCGCGGGTCAAAGTAATGATTCAGCATGCTCATTTTATGACACAACCCTCTTTAGCTATTTGGAGAATCTTTTAGCGCTGTTTTGAGAAAAATGATCGCATACCACATGGCAATTCTAGCGCGCGAAACGAGTACGGCAATGAAGCATGGTCGGCAAACGTCTCAAAAAGGAAAAGAAAATGGGAATTCTTCAACATGTAACAATTGTGACGAGAATGTTAATCAATATTTTGATATAGCTTTGCTTACAAGTACCTGGCAACTAAATGAATGGATTTTTTACAAACAATTTTCTTGTTCTTTTTTTTGTTTTTGTTTTTGTTTTCTTTTTAGGAGGAAGCGGAGGTGGATCTCCTAAAGCATGAAGAAGAACTAATCCACTTTTGACTCATTACACGGTCGCTTCAGTTGAAATATGTCTCAAATAAAATGCAAATTCAACAAACGGCCTACTACTCTTCATACATGACATAAAATATTTCACCAACACCGAAACCACGAACTGGGGATTTTCAGTCATGTAACCATCACCAGCGCAGAATAGAATTGCCCTCGCAAATTTTTTCTTTTACGTGGTCTTTTTACAAATCGCCTCACCATGATCAAGTTCGACGAAATGAACAAGAGCTCATGACTTATGCTTCGTAGAAGATCGACTTATAACACTCTGGAAAACCTTTCAAGGTTGAATAAGGGTTTATATTTATAAAAGGGTTTATACTTATAAAAGAATTGGGGGAAATTTTTTAAAAGAGATATGCGCTTTGTTTGGTATACAATGACCACCAACCCACCTCCTACTTTAAAAATGCTCTTCTGCCTTCCTGAGTCTAAGACTAAAATATTTCCTTTGCTATCATGACAATAGCGAAATGCTTTTAAACGGGGCCACGCTATATTCCGTTGAATCATCACTCATTTGCAAAATTTGCACAACTGTTTCACTCACACGTAAAGGATATACCCGAAATTTTGAAAAAGCAACGTGATATGCCTTTTTTGAATTGTCAATCATTGTGTCAAATTTAAAGAGGGGTATTTCCTCATGAAATAAATTGTGCTATCGAAGAATACAAATCGACGAAAATTAATTATCGGTGGGGTGAAATTTGCAGAGAGGCAGTAATAAATGCTTGGGGAAGAAGAGTATTTCTTTCCCTCATCATGACAATTTTAACACCACAACAAATGTAGTCCACTGATTTGAATACAACTCAAATTTGATTAACTTAAAAACACGTCTAAATTTACTAGTGATTGAGCTGGTTGAGAAAAGAACAAACTGTGTTTTTTTAAGCTAACACAACCGGAAATTTAAAACGTGAGCGTCAGTTTGTTTTTTTCTAATTTGCATCTTTATCCTGACAGCTTTCGTGATATGTAATGTTACTCGCTACACTTTTTGAGGAAGTAATCCTGTTCCCATCTATTTAAAATATCTTCCATCCGCGAACAAGGTATTTTATGTTATTTTGATATCTGATTGAATCTGATAATGTCTTCAAATTGAAAACGTTTTTTTTTTAATTTTTTATTTTCACCTCATAATTAAACAAAGGTGTTTTTGTCTTTACCTTGCTATTCGTGTTTCAGAGACAGAGCACAAAATTTTCCCAAATGAAAAAAGACGAAAATTTCACGGGTCTTTGTATATACTTGGCCTTTCGCCATGAGTGAGGGAAGTTATTCAAAATTAACATTTAAGTTGTATTAAGACATGCGCCTACCTCAGAACTAACATCAAAAAAATATTCGATCCTTTTTGAGAGCAGAATCTGGCTTTAAAATTTATTGCTCATAATAACACCCAAGCACATCCAGGGAAAGCATATTGAATAGATGTTAATTGTTAGCGATTTGATTCAAGCTCGGGAACGCAGCAAATGGGCAAGAAAAATGAATTCACATTTAAAAAGTTTTGGAAAAGAAAAAGTCAAAATCTTAAATTTATTGGCGCACTTCTGGTTCTTGTTCACACTGAACTGAGTCTTTTCTACAAGAAAAGTAGTGCAACGCCACATAGGGGAAACCTTCTATTCACTGTATTTAAACTGCTATTTAAAGGCCTGAGGTATCTCGCCATAGCTGTTCCAAGTTCCGGAGTAATTTGTTCCCTGCTAGTGTTCCGAGTGAAGTGTTCTTGCATATCGATTTTAAATTGTTTTCACGGGATTTTCTTCCTTTCAGATCACCTAGTATGAAGCTGACTTTAACAAGTCCCTATCTGATTTTATTACCATTGATTTGTGTACATGGATTTATCATGGAAGGTAATGAAAATGCTTTGCTGTCTGATGTTCGTTAACTGCGGGCGGTAAAGGGAAAGAGACCTAACGATGACTTTACAGTCTTAACGATGATATGATTTAAGCAACAAGGCAGTTGTAAAGCGTACTTTAGTGTCGAGGATTTCATCATTTAACCTTTTAACACTTAGCATGAAGTGATTATAGCAGTGACGCTAAACAGATTGAACCTGCCACGATCGGCTTCTTGTTTGAAATTTTAAGCCTGTTTTACACTTCCTTACGAAACAAACATTGACACGATCAGTATATATTAGCTAGTTTTATTCAGTTTTTGCTTCCGTTAGTGGATAGTCGATACTGAGATAGTCGCCCGATGGTAGATCGATTCTCTTCCGTTACTTGACCGATATCTCGATCGACATGTCGGCCGACAATCGCCCGACCATTGGTCTATCATCAGTTCGCTATCGACAGAGTATGGAATGGCCATCTCAGATGGGTCGACTGAAATGTCGACCAAGAATACACATGTAGAAGCAGCTACGATAAAAACAGCAAAACCGACAAAAATAAAAACAGGAACAACTTTTGTTACTTAAAAGGTAAGACGAATTCCATTTGACCAAGTGCGAAAAAATATTCCCAGTCCCTTCAGTCTCGCGAAGTGCGACGTAGTTCAAAGTGGAGTTTTTTTAGACAATCACTTCCCTCTCGATCTGCCAAATCTATGAGTAGATCGATTTGTCATGAAGAGTTATCGTATATTTGTCTTAGATTCAGACCAAGATGTTCCTGTGGGAGGGCTGAAACCTGGCTGTGAAGTGAAATTTGAGAAAGTTGGATGCTTTAAAGACAAAGTTGACATACGGGCTCTTCCTGAATTAATCTTCCACCAAAGATACAGTATCAGTTGGGATCTTGGTAAATGGGGAGATTATTTAAAACAGTAAGTTTTTCGAAAAAACACAACACGATTTTAATAGGTTTTCATACAGACTTACGCAACGACGATCCATTCTCTTATAAAGATTCCCGAATAAAATGGCTGAAATAGCAATTTTAGGTATCAGTTTACCTTTGGAAGGTTTTTATTACTTTTCGTTTTTTTAATTTACAAATCATTAACTTTCAGGTGCAGTCGTATCGGTTTACAGTCACCACGTTCCACAATCAACTAACTCACTCAACGAAATACTGATTTAAGAACTTAATGCTTGGACAAGCAAACTTACCCCCCCCCC